GTGTCTCATTTCGTTAACTCTACAGTACAGAAGATTCTTGTATTTATGTTATATATACATACACATGCCCGCATTGAAACCACCGAACTGATTGGTAACTGTTCCAGTCCCACGGTTTGGGGTTCGTTCTGTCGGACGTTCGCTGCTTCGTAGGGATGAAAGGTATCAGCATGCACGCCTCTACACATGCGAACGATGTTTGCGGGAGTGCTAGGATTACGCTCTACTTGCTGAAGTCATTGGATGGCATCCAGAAGAATGTGGGTGAGGCAGGATCCTCCAAGTTTCTCCAAACGTTCTTTGTGCAGAAAAAATCATGTCCAGGGCAGTTCCTTCAGTTTGCCCATATTTGGCCACTTGTTTATGGGTGCAAACTGCCTCTGAGGAATGAATATGAATGAGTTAACCAGCATATCTCCCTAAAGCACGGGATTCCCGAAGCTAGGAAAAAACAGGGAATACCAAGAACCAACCATCAATCCAAGTGATGGGAGTGTGCTCCTTGGCCTCAAGTGACTGCTCCTTCAGGCTTTGGCTGTGATCGTGATCTTTTTGGGACAGATCGCGGCAGGCCGGAAGTCTGAGTGCCACAAGGGTCTGCAATACTGAGCGTCAGTGAGAAGGTTGTCACACAGGTGTAGTTGCTTTGAGCCTGGGTCCAGTATCAGTATTTGTTTTGGCGGAGCGTTGGATACTCCATGGATTGGCTTGTAATTAATGTTAGATATATACACTGTATATATATATATATATATGTATGTATGTATGTATGTATGTATGTATGTATGTATTGTAGAATTGGTTAGATATGAATTTGATCACCAATGCAGTCCATTCAGTAGCACCATTTATCGCTTGAGAACTACTAGGAACATCTCATCAGTGTCGATTGTGATGTCCACGGAAGTTCTGATGCAGCTTGCATCCTCCAGTGGGCATGTTTCCCCAAACCACCAATGAAACCAGTGACGTCTCTTGTTTTGGAGCGCAGGGGAAAGCGTCATGAGACGATGCAGGTTCATATCCGAGATCTTTCGAAACAGGTCAAAAGGGGAACAACACAGATCAAAATCCATGACTGCATGGAACCCACTCACTGGGAACCATCCAAAATCATATCACTCCTACCATTGACCCCTTGGGGTCTTCACTCGCGTCTAAGACGGCCCCACCCACCAGGCTCTTCCGTCTTCAACCTGTGCGCCTTCCTGTTGGCCTGCTTGGTGGTCATCCTGGTGCGAATCTATGGCCTCGCCGGCAAGGCTGAACAGCAGCTGCTTGCGGTGAAGGGGCGCTGGTAACACTCCCATGTATGACATGTTTACCTTTGGGTCTGTCCGACCTTACTTGTAACAGTCAGTAAACAAGAACATCTCGATTTCACAGAAAAGCTTCTATACCATGCTTTTACTAAGGTATCATCATCATCCACTGGGCCCTGGATGACATGGATAGACCCAATATTTACCTCCCCCAAGGTGCTTGACCCGGGGTACATGTAGGTATATATATATATAAATTCATACATGGAGTCCATGGAGTATCATCGCGTGTTTGGGATTGAATGTACTGTAATTAAGTGCTAAATGACCCGCGGCCAAGGGTTGGCCATCACATGAAGTACACCATCACTGAAGTTGCTTGTCAGGGGATGCCATTTCAGTTTAGTGTTATTAAGGTGTGTGTGTGTGTGTTTGTTGGTGGGGTTCATTGAGCCGTCAACCCAGGTTTGGTCCTCTTCATGCCCTTGGGCCGAAGTTTTTGGACTGAGCCTGTAGTTGCTTCATCACACCGCGGCGTATACGACAAATGTTTTATTTAGGTATACGAGTCAGAGGGTCCAGAGGGTCATGCCGAAGCGAAACACTGCGCGTGCCAACCGATCCCTCCACCACTCTGCGCGTTTCACCGGGTGTCGGGGCAGGTGAAATCTGCTTTGGAAGTGCCCAAGGCGGCCAAAGCGACGGAGCACAAGGTGCCTCGTATGGTGGGACGGTATGGGTTCCTTGTTTCGGCCGCCGGCGCTGTGAGCGACCCTGATGGCGGTCATTGCCAATGGCACCGGCGCTGCTAAAGGTGCCGGTACCTTGTTTGAGGGGTCTTTGCCGGTTGGGTTGGATTCTCTTCTCTTCGCCATTGGACTTGCACGTTAGACTTTTTAGGCCTTGCACCAAGAGTTGGGGACTGAAGGTATGGGTCGTGAACTGAACTTCTTCAGTTGTGGACAACTCGTAGTTTGCTTGGGGAGCTAGGAGGTTCTGTAGCTCTAGCTGTTGCAAATACAACACAAAATGATAAATCTGACACCATGGTGTCAGCTGCTCTTTCTCGAAAGGTGGTGGACATCAAGAACACCAACTCTCCAGTCTGAGCGTGAGCCTATCATTTGGGCTGAGGTCCCAGTGGGCCTGGCGTTGTATGGGATGACGCCAGTTTTCTGTTCCCACATACCCAAACCAGTTTTGCCATTTTGCTTTTTCACAGCGGCGACGGAACCAAGAAAGCCTGGTTTCCAACCAGCTGTTGCATGGATTGCCCTGGCGGCTAAGTCCCAGGGCCATCTATGTGTGGCAAAGTTTGCGACCCGAGGGGGTGCTCGTTGGTCGTAGCCAAGACTTCGATAGATTGCACATAATACGTAAAAAAAGTGTTCTTGTCAATGCTGCAGCAAAGAGTGACCGTATGTGTTTGGTTGTATCTCCTTTTTTCTTTACCAACAGGGTTGAGATATATGCATTTGTCGGAGCTCTTCAGAAAGAAGGCCCCAAACACAGTCACAGGTTGATGTTCCAAGTACCTTTTCAAGAAAAGAGACTCTCACGCTTTCTTTGGTATTGTTTGACGAAGCCCCAGCACCCTACCAGATAGGATACCATTAAGGACCATTGGAGCTCTGGCCCTCCAGGCATTAGTACTACATGTACACAAGTACCCAGTATCTGTGATAAATTGGGTCTATAGACCCCTGTCATAGATAGAAGTTCGAGGACATCCCCACATAGAAACTGTCGATCGGAAACTGTGCCACGGTCATCTATTTGGGGACCATGATACTTGAAAAAGAGACCGGTCACACCGGTGTTTTTGCAGACCTTTTACGAGCACCGAGCGTCCGAAATGCACCAGTCGTTCTGCAGCTGGACCTTGGCCCAAGATTTTGGCAAGTCATTTGCATCTCCTTCTCAGTCCATCTCGGCATCATGGCTGGTGAGGCGGCCAAGGGAACCATGGGCATTTTCATCATCTTTGTGCTCTCCCGTGCGTTGCATCCCATGGTGATCGACTACTCCAAGGTAACTTTGCAAGTCGTTTTGCGCAGTCGGTTCTGGGTGCAGAATCGTTACTGATGATTTTTCTTCCCACGTTGTGCTTTTGAGATGTTGAGGATGTTTGTGAAGCTGCTCTAAAGCCGAAGCACTGTGCCTTCGGGAAGCATCACCCCGTGTGTTTTCAGGAGGATGGACAGATGCTCTATTCCAAGAACTCTCCTGCAATCATGAGTCAGCTCCTTTCAATGATCTTCGTTAACTTCCTGGCTTGGCAAGAGGAGGGAATGAAGGGCGTGAAAGCATGCTGGCAAATTCCTAAGGGTGCTTCCATCTTCATCGTCATCGGTGCCTAGGTTCAACACAGACTCTATAATTGGGCTGTATGAAAAGGCTCCTCTACAAGCATGCAAAGGCCGTGTTTTGCAACTCAGACTATGTTCAAATGTGCAAAAGACAACACAGTGTCATCATGTCAATGCTGTTGCAATTCCTATGTAGTGGATACATCCAATGCAATTGTGTCGTACATGTCCTTGTTTCCGCTGCACGTCACAACAATCGGATCACTTTGAGCATGTCTTGCCGCATCGTATTTTTGCTTGAGGATGGGAGTGGTTGTAGTTGGGAGTTGCTCAGGAAATATGATAATGCTCCCAATCATGAGATTATTTTTGCATCCTTTCCCCTCCAGAAGATGAAGGAGAACATATGGTTGATTGAACAAAAGCCGGGACTCCAACCTGAGAAAAGCCCTGGCCTGTTTTGCCCTGCAGACAACCCTATTTGTTGTCGATCAAACTCTTGGAGGCGTATGTTGAACTGAGTCGAGGTTAGGTAAACCAAGTGTGTTACCAGCGCAAACTCTAAACCTCATGTTTTGTTCATTCATTCACCGCCTTGTGTTCATATCAAGAACACTGCGTAGGGCAGTACTATTGCATACTGACGCCTGCTCGGTAATACTGACCCCTGCTCAGTCCAAATTCTAATATCCAAAATACCAACCTCTACTTCTGAAGCTATCAAAACACATCAACACCTGAAGCCATTCTCTCCTGGATTGGCGCCAGCGGAGTGAGGTCTTTGGTATGCCTTCGGTGACTTCTTGGAAATGCTTTCCATGGGTGCCATGACGGGTGGTGTCTACCAGCTTTTGCTCCAATCTAAGCTCTTGATTACCGCCGTGATGATGAAGCAGCTGAAAGGAACTACCCAGAGTGGCTTGGCCGCAGTTCTCCAAGTGAGGCCCTTCCAACTGGGTTAATCATTAATCCATGATGTTCATCCCATTTGGTTGTGTGATTTCTTTGGGGGGTTGAGATCTTCGTTGTTGAGACACTCTCTGCCACTAATCCGTTTTTTGCGGCCAAACAGAGGACAATCTTTAGCATGTGCTATTTCCTGCCCAGAGTAGAGTACTGTCTGATTGTGGGCTGGCTTCCACAAAGAACGGTGGCAAACTCTCCACATTTGGCTCACTATATATTTTGCTGAAACGCAGGCGACCTCCAGTGGAATGTGCTGATTGCAGCCACCTTGGCCATCAGCGCCTTTGTCATGGTTGACTCCGGCAGCTCCGATGGCGAGTCTGGCATTCCTTTGATGGGTGTCGTCCAAAACTTAGCTGAGTCGGGCTGTGGTTCTTATCACAGGCTGCACAAGTGCAGGTTTGGAAGAAGTAGCCGCAAAAGAAATCAGCCGAGGCCATGGTTCTTTTCAAAGTCGGCGTTTCTTGCTATGCTGCCGTGCTCTCAGATGCCAAATTGAAGGGCTTCAGCAACATGTCCATGTCGGCCAAGCTTTCCTTGATGTCTCTTTCTCGTGTGATTGCTTCCGTGGGCATTGCTGCCGTCATGGAACCAAGCGTGCAGCCCTCCTACCAGTGGAGTGCGGCTGGATTCTTTGATCACTGGACGTTGGCCACCTGGGTTGTGACCTTGTCCTTCACCTCAAAGTCTTTGATCCTTGCATACCATTGGCAACTTCTTGTTAACCAGTTTTACTGAGTTTGGCACCCTGTACCGTTGCAGATCTTTACAATACGTCTGACACCACGCCACTTCCGCTCCCTCTCTCTACCTGTTGCTTGAAGTACAACGCTTTGGCTCCAACATCCGGTGCTTCCAAAAAAACAAGATATATATATATATATATTTTATATGTATATCAAAACCCACTGGTCAATGGACGAGTTAGCTGATACGGGTCATCCGGATGCGTTCTATTGGATCCAATTGGCTGAGGATCACTTTGTACCTGCTAAAGTCTTTGGACGGCATTCAGAAGAACGTGGGCGAGGCATGGGTCAGGGTGGGTGGGGTGGGCTGGCAGGCGACAAGAGTGGCACACTCTCGGCCCACTCTGTGACAAGGGCAAAGAAGTAGTGTTCTGGAATCTGGAATTTGAACATGAAGTAGGGAGAAAACTAATATTGGTTTTCTGGGAATGGATTTTTGAGTGACTCTTTCCTTTGTCCTTTGACCAGTTTGTGAAAGGATGGTAGCCCAGCTAAGTGGACCAGTCCGTGATTGGTCACGCATATTTTATCATTGCTTCACCAAGTAGAATTCCGCATAGCAGGTGATCTGTCCTTCTCAGCAGGCTCTGGCTGTGATCGTGATCTTCTTGGGACAGATCGCAGCAGGCCAAGGGGAAAGCGCGGGCGGGGTACACAGAGGATTTCTGCGGAAAATCACCCGAGATTCTGATCATGTGAAGGTATCCTAGAGTTTAGATGGTGCATCACTGTTGTGGCTGCAATAATATATTTTGGATGCGTATGGGGGCCTTATAACTAGAATCTAGATAAACCTAGAAGACTTGGGAATTTGGAGGCTCTTCTATCCAACAGGAAGATGTTAGTTTGCCGACCCATCAACCAGTTAGTTGGTGTTTTCTATTCAACACATGTCAACCCCAACTTCCTACTATATACCCCCTCCATTTGGCTGGCCTCCCATGGTTTGCACCAAATCTCAGCCATGGAAACCTGCCTGCCTTGGTTTTTGTAAGTACCTACAGGCTATCATATGGGCTTAATATGGTCCAAGTGACGTGGATCTTCAGAAGTATGACTTGTCTAGATCCCACCCGTCTCCTGTTCCCCCCCCAGCTGAATGAATCGCCCTCGGCCGCTGTTTCACCCAGGTTCTTTGGGGAATTCTCTGATTACTGCATCATGATTCCAAAGAAGTTCCTACGCAGGTCTGAAACACTGTCAGCAATCCAAGATCCGTTTCGATCTCAACTTGCTGCACATCCAAGCCCTCACATCACTCCTGACCCCTGTTTTGACAGCACCATTGATCCGGTCTTCACTCACGTCTAAGACGTTGGGCCCCACCAGGCTCCTCCGTCTTCAACCTGTGCGCCTTCCTCTTGGCCTGCTTGGTGGTCATCCTCGTGCGCATCTATGGACTGGCCGGCAAGGTGCGGCACGACGCCTTTCAACGCGAGGCGAACGGTGTTCGTGGGCCCCAAAAGAAGCGATCAGAGCCACGCGGCACGCGGAAAAAACCAGGATTAATGCAACAGGTTGCGGATTGAGCCATGCAGATGATACCAATTTCTTCATGTAGCGATGAGCAAACAAGAGTACAAGTGATGAACAATCACAAATCTATTTCTTCCGGTGATTTTTTGCCAGAACTCTGTTGGCTTGCTATTTGCATCCCTGCCAACAAAAAAAATCAGGCACAGAGTTTGCAGTTTCCTATCCCTTGTGTTTATAGAATCCACTGCATGTCTGGGAAAGTAAATCGAATTGCACCTTTCATGCTTACCCTGCGACTGTTTTTGCTTTTTGCCATGTGCTGTTCATCAGTTTCTTTGTGGAAGGTGAAGGCTGCTGCCAAGCCTGCAGCTAACACAGCGGTCTTGGATGTGAAAGGACAGAACCTCAAGGTCCGCACAAACGGATGCAAGAGGGAGCATGTTGCTGAAGATAAGAAGACAAGAGAGAGAGAGAGAGAGAGAGAGAGAGAGAAAGCTAGAGAGAGAGAGAGAGCGCCAGATGTTTCGTTGCCAGTTCCTACTTTGTTCCCATGTCCGACACTTCACAATTCAAGGGTATTATTGGACTCTTGAATGAATCGTGCGTCATTTGGTAAAATGTGAGAGCACGTAGGTGAGTTTGTATCTTGGAATCTTGAATATTATCCATCAAGAATCCAGAAGGATTCATATGCCTAACTGTTGCATCATCAGGGCGAACCCTCTTCAGGAGTTGGTGCAGTCGAAAGAATTTCATTCCTGGGTCCCACAAGTCCCCACCGTTTTCACCAACAGGACCGTTGTACACCTGATGGGTTGCTGGTTCTTTCCTGAAACACGAGCCGGGGCCTGGGCCAAGCTCTCAACTCATTGTTGAGGGATCTGAGTTGACTTTGATTCACCTGCGATCCACATTCTGAGAGGCCATGGTCTTATTTTCTGGGATTCAGAGTAATTTGGACAGATTGTCACAGGACGAGAGTGTTGGCTCAAGCTGCAATCAAACATTGTGGTTGTCAAACATCACCCTTGGATTGAAATGATAAACCTGTACAGTGGCTTCAAAGTAGATGGCACAATCCCCAAAAGGGGTGGCTTATATGGACCCCATATAAAAGACATCTTGGGGGGAAAGATAAGCTCTGAAACCACGGCTTGACGAATAAGAAGTGTTTGCTTTGGCGAATCCCGGTGGCTTCTTCGGGAATAAGCGTTCGTGCTCGGAACACACGGTCTCCTTGAAACGGTTTGCAGCAGGCGGATTGTTGACCCTGTGTCGTTCATGGTTTTGTGGCAATAGCAATAGATGGTTAAAAGTATTTTCTTTGCATGGGTATTATACTCACTTGTTTCTTGTCAATGTTCACTTCAGCAACCAAAGCCGCTCCACGGGTGGGAGAGCAGATCCATGTGTTCGATCAACTCCGCAGGTGACAGAGATCAAGAACACCAACTCCCCAGTCTAGCTGCCGAGCTGCATAAAAACGAAACACACATAGAATCACATAATATATATAGTATACATGTTTCCAGCTTCATTTGAAGCACTCGTAGATCAGTTTTCCTCGAAACGAATCACATCTGAGAACAAGAAGACAGTCACTTGAAAGGCTTTGAGGAGGTGTTTGGAGCAGTGATGCTTGGAGGTATTCATTGAGTGATACTTGATTGATCTTGCATCTACTGAATCTAGGGCCCCTGAAATCCAGTTGATAAAGATTATGAGATTGTTTCATGTATCAATTATCCCAAAGCATTATATACCCTGCCCTTTCTTTCATGATTGCTGCTGTGGTTCTTCTTGTGTACAAGGACGTCCATGTCTCAGAGAGCTTTGGTGTTTGTGTACAAGCACTTGACGCCAATTTTCCTACCCCTAATTCCAAAAGAATGAACTTGGGGTAGACATTGATTTTGCATGATTTTGCCTTCCCACAGCAGTGAAGCTTAAATTGGGAGTCTTCAACTGCGCTGTTGGCATCCTTGGCGGTGTTCGACGAATGTCGGCATCGTTCAGGATTGCCGTATGTGTTGCCAACGGCTTTTCAATGCCATTGCTTCACCTAAACAATGAAAAGACACTGAGTGCGGCCAACAAAAGAGCAGCTGTGTTTGTTGCTTGGAAGACACTTTTCAGCTTCATTCCCGGTTTCCTCATGGATCAACCAAACACCACGCAGCACGCGAAGGCCTAACTTGGTCGTTCATCACCCACCAGCCAGTTGAAGGCAGTTGGTTCGTGTCAGTGCTATATGGGTTTGTATGCGTGCAACGCAGAGTTGGGATGTTCGACTTCGGCGAAGCATACAGCAAAGCATACCCGGAATGTGAACATCCCCCGGGAACATCCCACACCTGGGAGCATATCTATTCTTCATCCAGACAGACAGCAGTTTAACTTGTAAAAAAAAAATAAAATAAAAAAAGTAAATAATAATAAATAAATAAAAAAACAACAGTTGTAATGCATGGCTTACAGACCCGAACAGCTGGATGTGAAACGTTCCACAATGAACAGCTGGAGTGAGGGATGGGGTCATGCTGGTCATGACAAAGCCCTACAGTGGCTGGGATGGCCTATGACTCTGCCCAATAATGAATATCTCCAATTAGTTTGAAGTGCAGTTGAAGTGATACCTTTGTTGTTTCCAGGTGTAGAAGATTATCCACCATTTGTGTGCGGTCACCATGGCTATTATTGTTCGGAGATTTGCAGAAGCTCTATGATATAACTTGCAGAGACCACTGACTTTTGATTCAACACCCGCAGCAGTCAGGGTTATGCCCCCCCCGGCTATTCTAATCCTTGAACTGACCCAGATCCCCACGTCTGACCTGGTCAGAGTCGCCCAGATCTGCACGTCATCGCCCAGATCCGTCATCGCCTTTGGTGCTCCTCCTGTGGACATGTGACATAGTTTGCCCTATACAAACACGTTCCTCCCCAGAATCCGTAAAAATCCCGACTTCAGAGACGCAGGCCGCATATAAAACGCCTGGCCTTGGATTTCCCAACCGTTTCATCATCAAGACGTAACCCTCCAACCGGTCTTATGGTGCAGGACGAGGCGGTCAGCCAGCCGGCGCATTGCGCAAGCGCGCATGTGGAGAAAATGGTGCGGTTTGGCGGTGACATTTACGGAGTTTGGAGAAAACGGCGTGTGGAACGTTCATTGTTGTTGCTGGTTGAAAGTCACTTTGTCCATGGGTCACATCTGTATTTTCTCTCCAGTCCTTTCAGAGCTCGAGTGACTCGAGTCCTTTGTGAGCCAATTAGAGGTAGTGGAGGAAGGATGACGATCTCCGGATTACTTCCTATACAGACTGTACAGCTAGAAGACATGTGCGAGAGGATGGTGGTCTTCATCCCAATACCAAGATGCAGAAGACGGACATGCCGAATCATGTTGTTCCCCGGATGGTTGCGACGGACCACGCCAACAGACGGACGCGTGGCGTCTGCTGATAGGTCACAGCGCCAGGTACGATGGTCGAAGCTGGTTTCTGACGAAGGTGAAGGTGAGAGGTTGAAGAACCCTATAGACTATCCGGATGGTAGATCCGGATACTATAGACCATATGACCCTATAGACTATCCCTGGTGCCCTTCGCCAGGCCTGAAAGGTCCTGAAAGTCCGGACGGTGGTTGGGGGTGTGCCGCCCTCGCCAGGCCAAGCGCTTCGGAGAACAAGATGATGCTGCTCCTTGGTGGAGAAGAAACGGTGGCTGTGGTGGTTTCTAGATATTGATCCATCCTGCTGAATAGCAACGCCAAAGCAGTTCTGGAAGCGAAGCGTGCCCGGCACCGCATCAGGTCTTATGGCATGTGATCCCGGCATCGCTTGAGTTGGGACGATACTCTGACATGATGTCTACAACTTCGTCTCAGATGATAAGTGAAAGAGGATGAAAGAGGTATGTTAATGTCATGTTTTTCTTATGGTGACCTGACTATTCAGGCAGATTCCCAATATGTCTAGGGGTCTACAGCGCAACGCCACGCCAGGAATGCCTTCAAGAGCCTTGCTCGGAGTCATCCTGCCGTTTTTGCCAGGTGCCGGGCCGATCGAACGTGGTGTTTGATACAGCCGATGATAGCATAGACCATCCGGACTGGAATAGTTACTTACATTGGGGTCATACGTGGATATAAGTCGTGTCCTATAGTAAATATATGCATCTATTCCAGTCCCATGTTGATGGTTTGGGTTGTGGGAGGAAAATCCATTTCAGTGGCTGCGTATTCAGTAAAGACACAACTGGTGGGGTCCACATCACCATGATTTTGTGCATTCCCTGGTCCCACCAAGTCCCGTGAATCAACGGTTGCACGCCTGATGGGTTGCCGGTTCTTTCCAACGAGACGCACCGGGGGTTCTAGGCGATCCAGTCTCCTAAAGAACAGGTCAGGTCAACCAGGTGGATGCCGTGAGACGAAGTCCGGTTCAATGGCGTTTTTAGTAACATGGTTAGTAACGGGTTGCCCCAATCTGCTCATCTCCATAGGCTGGAGTTTCAAAAGTTCTCAACCATTGGATGATCCTGGAGTATATCTTGTCAGGTACCGAACAGATCTTCGCAAACCCCCCCTCCCTTTTTTTGATATATTTTTCCGTATATCACCCATCGAACGAAAACCCTTCGCTTCTGTACCTCACGGACGTCCGGCCGACCACACAGACGTCCGCCAGGCACCACCCAGATTTGACATGCCTCTCCGACGGCTCAGTGGTCCAACGCTGACCACCCTGCGAACGAGGTCCGGCCGTGTTCTTTTTGAAGCCGGGCTCACCAGCAACCCGGGTGAAGACTCTATAGCTGTCGGTGCGGTTTTGCTGGTGGAGCAAGGTGTGTTATTCTTTTGGTGTTTTTGTATAATGTATCCCTCACCTTGGAATCTTGGAATTCAGAGGCTTTGCGACATGCCAGTCAGACCCGAGATCGGCTTTTCGATCGACCCCCCAGCGGTGAACGTATCGATTTCTGCCGCCAGAAGTCGGCGACGGGCGCCAGACCAAAGTGGCCAAGACCGGATGCGTTCCCTCCGAACGGTTCGTTCGTCAACGTTGCCACGATGCGAACCATCACGATCCCGTCGATCCGTTCGTTTCAATCCCAGACCATGGCATGGCATGGCATGGAATATATGGACCCCCGAAACCACCGCAATGTAGTACTATATAGGCCATGTATCGATGGACTGAATACAAGAGACTCCCCTGGCCCTGGTTCCTTGCGTTCAGATCAGAGAATCGGTGAACTCCACAGAAGATTCCTGCGCTTGCTTTCGCCGTTGGCTCAAGTAATGTATGCCGCTGTGTCACGAAGGCTGGTATGCACGGGAGATGAGATGAGGAGTACTTCACATGCACCGCAAATGGGTGTGTAATTTAAGAGAGAGGAACGCTGTGAGGCTGCGAGGGCCTGTGTTTTTCAGTGGAAAACGCAGGCCCCCACAGCGTTCCTTTCTATATTTTAATAGGGAGAACCCCTGGCCCAATTGGGGTTGGGGGTCGGTCGATACACCCCAATGGTGACAAATGGTGTTTTCGGTCACACCAACTCCTGATCTCTCAACTCCTATATGCTTGCTGATGTGGGACACAGACTGTATGATGAACAGCTGTCCACAAACTATGTGTGATAGGATCGAACCATAGTTAATTGTCATCATCAATGGATTTCAGTTGAAGCTGATATCATTACCGAAAATTACTGATGAATACATGTTTAACATCTTTAAACGAATGATTCTAACAAGACTCAGGTATAGAGTATGCTAGAGTGGAGGATCCACTCCTATTTGCCTGGTGCTATCAGTGCGTTGGATCCGCTGCGCACGCTTTATTTCCCGAGGCGTTGGCGGTCATGGCCTACAAGCGGCCTTTGGGGGTGGTTGGGGTTGCCCAGTGGGGTTCCTCCGCAGCGTCGGCGGACCCGGGCCCGGCCCCGATCGGTCTGTGCGATTTTTTTCGAGCGAAAATGATCCTGTTTTGGGATTAGGTGGCCAAAGTCGATTTTTGAGCTGTTGTGTATTTGAATTTGAACTGTTGTGTGTATGGTCTGTTGTGTATTTGAAGCTGTTTGGCTTGTTTGTTTTCGCACCGAGGAGAGGGGCCATGAGGTTTGGCAATCTGTGCGTAGAGAGACTACTAATTGAGACTAATTGGACATTTTCCGAGGAACACCAAGGAGGAACTTAGTAAACTATGGCCTCTACCTTAATTAGTTTCCATGTCACATCGAGTAATTATTCCTAGGTATAGGGAGATTGGGGGGTCTCAGGCAGTGACCATAGTCAACTCACGTAAACGTCTGATTGGAATCTTTGACCTTCGCGTCAGCCAACTGACTGAACGTTCGGCCCGACTTGGACCCCTATGATCCACCTGATCTTGTCTACAAGACAAGATCAAATAGACATACATTGGATGGTCGATTAAGGGGTGCCACCCCAATAAAATCACAGATCAGCGCAAAGTTGAAGAGGGGAATGTATAGACAAAAGAACAAACGACTATGTTCGTTGGCTGATCATCCGACTTGTTCACTCCATAGCCATCGGCAACTACACCATTTTCCGGGAAAAACTGTTGATAGTTTTCCAGAGGGTCAGCTATAGGAGTCACTTTTCAGGTCTCTCACCCGCCCAAACAACCAACCTCGTTCGCACAGCGCGCAGAAGCACCGAGTCCCGAGTCCAGGTCCCGTCGCGGGACTTTTGGGAGCTCCACCGACGGCTGGGCGAATGTTACGAGCAAGCGCCCACGCCCGGCGTTTAGAGCGGTCGGAGCCGGTTTCGGGAGCTGTCGGACGTTCGGTTGGCGGACGGGGACCGAACCGGGTGTCGTTCGGGCGCCAACTGCTTGGAGCTCAGAAGAGGGCGAACTGCGGCGTTGAACGTTCGAGGGAAGAGATGGGCGAACATCCCCAGACGCGAAGGTCCGGAGGATCGACATCTCTTTCTGCTTAAGAGTCATGAGTCAGAATGAGTCACTTAGGTTCGGAGCACCGGGCATGGCATAGATGTTCCTAATTCATCTACAACTGCAAAGAAGAATCAGCTCGAACTACAATGTTCACGCAAACGGAGGTAAGGAACCATGTTCTGCAGGTGTGTTTCTGAACAAAAGACCTTTTCGTTACACCCCTACGGTATCATACAATAACTTGGAATTGGACACTGTTCACCATTTTCCTGCACAGCTGGCTACCAGCTTTCCATGTCAGCGCAGATATGATGCTCTAGTCCTCGGACAAAGAAAGTAGATTACAGTACTAGACCTACCCTTTCTCAGCAGGATTCACTAGGTTGGAGGCCATTGCTATTATGGTTGGGGATTCTCCGCTTGGTCCCACTCTCAGATAGTGATGCAAAAGGAACAAGCGTCACGACTGCCTAGATCCTCGAATCAATCCACTTGTCTTTGCGAGGATCTTAAGAAGGCTTCTGCGCGCAAGTTGGGGACTGCAAAACGGGTGAGAACCCATGGTGCAACTGGGCAATCTGGGCCGCTGCCATTCCTAGAGAGTGCCTTGATGATTTAGCAGGATTTGAAGTTTGGATATGATTGGGATGGGCTATTCGGGAGAACAAGCTCACAAACAGATAAGTATCTCAATGTAGGGTCTTGATTGGACATGAAGATGTTTTACATGGTTTTACCATCCAAAGTGGGGACTTGATCAATCAAGAGTCTACGTGTTTCCAACTGTTGCGTGTTTCCAACCTAATGGATAGACTCCAGCGGTATATCCCTTGGGATCCAACCGTTTCCAACTGAAAGGCCTACCGTTTCAACCCGAGGACGCGCTCTTTGCAGAGCGCTTAGAGGAGCTCGGTTGCCGAGGTAGGAACGGAGACACACATGTGTGTTTGAAGTTCCTTTCATTAAAAAGGTGTATATACATGTGTGTACACATGATGTCATTCTTTCCACACGATTGTTTGAAGAGGTTCATGATGGTTCAGGAAGTTCCCTTGAGCGAAGTAACGACTGGGATATCGGGGTGGATCGTCCGGATCGTCCGGATGTGGTTTGCACGCATGGAGCCCGGTAGAGAGTTCACCGCAACCCGGGTGTGGGTTCGTCTTCGTTCAGTGTCCGCCAAGAGGAAGACCCCATTGCTCCCTTCCAGTTTCTTACGCATATATGCTTAGGATTGTAATATGATGCATGACGAGGGTGGTTTCATGTGTAAGTTTTCTGATTCAATCGCGATAGATGCGTATATGTATGCTTCGTTCTGACTCTTGCGTCAGCCAGAATGCAGTTCCCACAAGGTTCTTGTCATCCTTGACCTGATTTCAGAAGGTCAGTCGATACACAAATGTTCCAACACCATCCTGTGTTCGGACAATTTCTAGTCCATCTTCCCACTTCCCAAATTGCTTCACATAACACTTCCAACACCATCCACCGGGTTCCCATGAGCCAACCCATTGCTATGGCCCCCGCCTTCTTCGGCCCTTCGTGACAGTCCTTCGTGAGGCGTCGGACTCGGCAGCGAGCCACCCGCCCCCTTGAGACCCGTCAATCATCGGGCCTACACCGAGACCTGGCGAGCTATTCGGAGACGGAACCCGAGACGGGACGGTGTGGGCCGTTCGGAAGGGTGCTTTTTGCTCCGTGAAAGAAATCGGGAACCGTGGTTGGTTGTTTTTTTTGTTTGGATGAGGCAGTTGTGGTTGCGGGTGTTGGTTATCGTAGTTCTTTGATTTGTACAAAGGTGATATATAATCAGACGCCTGTGTGAGAGTGCCTACAAGCAGTGTATTTGACTGTGATGTTTTCGGTTGTGGGTACCAGGAAGTCCATGTGAATCCAACAAAACTGAGTGGTGTTTACAGTGGATTGGATATCCCGAGGTCCTAGTTTATGTACATGGTATATAGTCAAGGTGAGATTGCCCCGGCAAAAAAAAACATAATCAACACTATTTACAGCCTTCGGCATGCCGCCGGCCACCAGCTCGAGCCCGCATTGGCAGGCAGCTTAATGATACAATACCCTGCTCAATCATACTTGTTGGTGCATTGGAGGTGCACATTTGGCTGGGTGAGTTTGTTGATGTTTATTTCAAGGTTGTTTGACCATGAAATGGAACAAATCCGAATCAGAGGTTGTCTATTCTGATCCAGCGATCCGAACCGGCATGTCTCAGTCGAATCACCTAAGAGGAACCAAGTGAAACCAACACAAGCAATGCGAACCAAGACTATCCACAAAACGTGACCTTGAAAACGATTCTTCTTCCAAACTACTTGGCCGTGTGCATGCTTTCCTTTTCAGATCTTTTTTTCGACCATCTCGAGGGATTGCGACACGCACCAGATCTTCTTTTTCACACACAGAAGGCTTCAAAGCGACCGAAGAATTTCTAGATCTGGCATGATTTAGAGGGCGGAGGGGGGAGGGGGGGGGAGGGGGTGAAAGAGTGACTAGGGCGTACACGGTAGAGGTGCAGACCGCTAGTGTCTTTTATGCGCAGAGTCTTATCCTCTTGCTCTTTTGAGCCTTGAAGCAGTCAAGCATGGACACACTATATCGGCTGTTGGAGTGGATCCCTGTACAGGTAGGCTCTACTTTTCAGCAGGCACAAGATTCATGTCCACTCCTAGCTGATTGCGTATGTCGCATACTCTTTTTCTACTGCAAGGCTAAAACAGTCCAGCTAGCTCTAGCAACTTAAAAGAAAACTACGGTGCCATGTACTTACCTAATCCAGTGTGTTTCACACTATAGAGAAGGTAATCTCAAAGCTACTAAATACAGTGAGGGAGCAATAGCTGACTCACCTCAAGTACAAAATCAAAAAGATAATGTACCTCGGCTGGAGACTGTACTTTTCACAGGCGGAGATACCATGTACCGGCGCTCACTAGCTCTTTATGGCCTGAGCTAAATCAAACTAAAAGGGAAAGCGGCTTTTTCTCTACAGAGACCTATAAAAGAATCAAACGACACTTGCGTAACAAGGAACTAAAAATTCAAGACCGCACAAATGCAATTAATTAAAATGCCTTGCAAAATGCAAGGAGCGTACGGTCCGAGGAATAATCTTCTCGTGACGTGGTCTCGACCGCTTTCATCCACAGACAAAATAAAACTGCATCAAAAGGACTCTCTTTCACATTCACATCAAAACACAAGAAGGAGATACCGGCAAATGTATGTACAAAAAAATCTTGCACTACAATTGCAAATCATGAAATGACTTAATCATCAACCATGACTGGTTGTCCATTAGAGGTCATCTCAGAAAAAGAGGCTGTGATAGATATCATCAGTTATGCAAAACTGTCCATACCTATCTACATGCTAAAGCGTATAAACCTGGAATACAGGAGTATCTTCTTTGACAAAAAGTTTCTCCTTATTGCAAACCAGAATTTATTAAAACTTCAGCCCGGCAACTTAAAGTCAAGCCTGGAAGCAAAGTATCAACTGTAACCAGAAGTATCTTCACTTCCTAGCCATCATTTAAATTTCAGCCTTCGCTCAGGAATTATGCCGCTGCAGACGATGAAGCTGCTTGACCAGAAGTTGGCGGCCTTCCTTTCCTTTTATTCTCTTTCTGTTTCTCCTTCCTCCGCAGTTTCGCCTCATGAAGAGTTGCTCCCATGCGATACTGTCTTCTGTCTCCAGATGAGAAGGAAGCTGGTCTGAGTGAAATAAACATTGGACCATGACTGTCCTCGTCAGTGGGCCTTGAGCACATAACCTCCGTGTCAATCATAGCAAAGTTCTCTGAAAAATTACAGATGAACTCCTTCGTGCTCACTGTGGAATTTTCATATTCCTCTTCACTCATTGAATGACCCCATTCAACAATGGTAGACAAACATGTATCGCCAAGCTGTGATCCTTGGTATTCTTCTTTTTCAACAGTAGAATATTCTTCCCAGAGTTTATCAAAGTAAACTTCACACTTCTTGAGGACCTGTGAAGTTGAACTGGAAAATGTTCTGGGAATAGGTGCTTTGATACCAGGATCTGCTTTTACACGAGCTTCTGAAAACCTGCGGATCCAATGCTGCATGGTGCTGTAATAGTAGTTAGCCATTGGCTGCCTTTTGTACCCAGACATTCTGTAGGCCAAACTATTTGCATCACCAGAAATGATGTCCACCTCATAGACAAAACACTCGTAAAGCATCAATGCTGTCTGTTCTCCTGTCAGTAGGTGGGCATCCACAGCACGGTGTGTATCAACATGATAATTACAGACTCTGATGGTATGCATGTTCGCTCGAGTAAGTGGAACACGCTTGTCCTCAGGACCATAGTCATCAAATTCAAAGTCTGCATCCTTGAAATCTTGACGAGGCCTTGTTTCTCCAAAACAAATCTCGTAGATAGCCCAAGTTACATCACGCTGTTCACAGTGACCAAGTTCTTGATCATGTCCAGCAATGATCTTGACATATCCACCTGGTGCCAATCTAGCCATCACTGCAAGATTTCCCAATCATTGAAACAAACTGTCCAATTCTTTTGCTCAATAAATTCCTTGGCAGGAACAAGAAGATGAGCTTCCTGGAGAATCACGACATGCGCACGTAAAAAGAAGAGCATGTTGAAGAAAAGGTTGTTCTCAAATTGCTCATTCTGAAGTGACATGGCGCTCTGTTTGCGTGGCCTCATTGCACTATCAAGTCCTTGGAGAAACCTTGGTGTGGTGTACTTCTGACCACGAACCATGTTGCCATAGTTCCAGGATAAAAATGTCAAGGACTCTGAGCTGGCCAATAAGTTAGTTCCATATGGTTCTTCTATTCTTCCCTTGAGGAACCTTCTGCACAGCTCTTCATAGAAGGTGACAAAGTCCCAACTGGGTCCCTTGGGACCATATGATTCCAGTTCCTTCTTGAGTTCCTTCTTCGTCTCCTCCAATTCTTCTCGAGCATGTCCTGCCCTTTCAAGGGCCTTTGGATCGACCTGATACTTGCCATCCAAATGAATGATGCGATCATCATTGATAAAGAATCTCTTCAAATCATGCTCTGGTTCGTGTTCATAACAATCAGGTGGAGGTACTGGACAGATATTACGAATGGCGAACAAAATCATTCTCGTTGATCCTTGACTGATAATGAGGATGGGAAATCTCACCTTTTCTGAAACAAACATGATTCAGCAATCTTGCGTGAGTTTCCCTGAAGCATAGTTGATAAAGGCCAATACCTGGATCTCCTGTAAGCTCTCCAAGCAACTTCAAAGGTGAAGTATGCAACTCATAGGTATTGTCAACTTTTGTTGTATCCTTTTCAACAACTACTTCAGATGGACAAGATTCCTGGATTTCAGCCTCCAATTTCTTCTCTCCATCATCCTCTCTGACCTCTTTTATTTTCTCCACCGCCTCTTTCTTCTCTTCCATGGTTGCATCATCCTGAACCTCTTCATGAAAATGAGGATCAGGTATTTTATTCAGGCGGCTTTTCTTAGATTTCGGCAGACGTAGAGTATCATCAAGGTTAGCATCCATCTCACCTGATGGTAAGTGCGATGCAGCCGAGTCCTCACCTATCTCTCTTGACAGAAAGTGTGGTGTTGACTCTTCCTTGGCTTCCTCCTGGTCCACTTCCATCTTTGGTTCCTCTGAAGGAAAAACACCTGCATCCTCATCAAATATTTCTTCTTCCTTTCCAGGTTCAACTGCAGGATCTTCTTCAGGAACTTCCTCTTCCATATTCTCATCTTCTAGAAGAGTCCTACTTCCAGCATAGATTTCACCAGCGATAGTGGAGACTCTTGTATAAGGAGGAACTTCTTCACCTGCTTCAAAAGCTTGTTCTGCAACATCCTTGGTGAGCAAGTCCTCTACAAGATTCTCTCCCTCGGTTCTTGGAAGAGGTCCTGAGGTCTCATAAAAATCTGTCCTCTCTGAACTGAAAGCTTCTGTCGCCTTCTCATTGTCCTTTTGATCCCTGAACAGGTGAGTAATCTTCACAGCTTCTCCCTGTAGCACCTGATCACCTCCTCTATACTTGTTGACAATGGAGCGCCATACTGGAACATCATCATCATCAAAATCAAGCTCCATATCATCTGCCAACAAGTATGAGATGTTTTGAGCTGCCTGTTCTTCTTCTTCATCACGTTCTTTGGCAAGCTCCTCATCCTTCTGGATCTTGAAGATACCCTTCAGGATGTCTTGTAGTACCTTTAAGTTCAGCTTCGATGATGGCTCATACGTCCCTGAACTTACAGGCTCAACTACAACACGAGAGCAAGAAATCGCCTCCAAAAACTTGGAATTGTATTGGCGTTCAAACTCTTCCTTCTTGATCATCTCATACAAGGGATCAGAAACTGCAACACGCGCCTGAACATACTCACGAAGTTGATAGCATGCATGTTGCACAAATCTACTGTTGGAGTTGTGAAGAAAACTCTCTAAATGATTCCTGTCACGGTCAATCAAATACCACACAATCCTTGCAGAAAAACGGAATTTCTTGAAGTTCATAGCAAAATGTGTATGATACTTCTCTGGATTCCTTTCTGCTTGTAAAGCGGCCTCTGAAGTCTTGTAGGCTGGGAGATT